TAAAAAGAGTAAACAAAATAAATAAAATAAAAGAAATAAAAATAAAAAATAAAAGAAATAATAATAAAATATATACAATAAATAAAAAAATAAAGTAAAGATAAAGAAAATAAAAAAAACAAAAAAAAAATAAAGAAAGAAAATAATAGTAAAAATATATATATAATAAAATGTATAAATAAAACATTAGATAAAAAATAAAAAAGAAATAAAAAAATAAAAAAAGAAATAATAATAATAATAATAAAAGGACTAAATTTAAAGAAAACAAAATTGGGGGTGAATCTAAAAGGAAATTCAGTTTTTAAATCGATTTTGGGGCTCAAAGTGCACGGTTTAAAAACCAAGGGGCCGAAATGGAGATTTCCCCATTTTGTTTGAAGACGCATGGACCCTCTGGCTCGGTTCGGGTTGACGCGTGGGTCTCATGGGCTTAGTATATAAGCCAAAATAAAAACAACATTAACCCAGATTTCAACGACCACCGCCTCGCCGGTCGCCGCTCATCGACGGTGGCTCAATTGTTTTTTGCATATTTCGATAGCTTTTTACCTCTCATTTTCGAAAACAAAGATATTTTTAGCAAAATGGCCTTAGGGAGGGCTAGATCCGAGGAAAACTCCTCGGTTGCCCTCCCCTCTGATCATCGGCCGATTGGTTTTTTTCAAACCGAAAACAACATGCAAGCAAAAAATCACACGAGGTAAGAATTTTACCTTTTTATTTTACTTTGAAATTGTTACAAAATGCTTCGAATACTTTCGTATGGTATCTCTTGCATTTGCTTCGTAATTTCCGTATGTATTTCGTGTGAAATCTCGTGTAATATAGTGTGTGATTTCCAAATATCTTTTTTTGGTTTACATACATGCATATTTATAGTCTTACAAGTCCTATTTTTAGAGTTCCCTAATGAAACTAAAACTTGTTTGGTTTGTTGGTTTCGTGTGATTTCTTTGTGTAGAAGGATTCAGGGTTGACTGAAGAGTGCAGTAGTTAATCGAGTTGTGGTTGAGATGAAGGAGATGCGGCGTTGGTGGAGTTTGGCTAGGGTTTGAAGAAAACCCTAAGTGTTTTAGGGCTGATTTGGGTCTTGGACTGGGTTTCGGGTCGTGGGTGATAACTTGGGCCAACTGGGTTTGGCGTGTATTGGGCTGCTGGATGTTTTGGGTATGTAAATTGTAAGACCTGTAAAAATAAAAAAAAATAGAAGCAATATATTATATAATTATAATATATGATATAATATGTATATATTATATAATATAATAATATAAATTAACATGTGAATGCCACATGATCAGACGAAAATATGTGTCGACAACTGCCCCTTTTTGCTCATTATCGTGTAACGAAAATAGGGCAAAAAAGACACAAATTTCATCCATATTGAATGTCCTCTGTCGTAGAGTTGAAATCCGATATTAAGACTGGTTTGTCAATTTGGATTGAATCACGAAATGACTCCCTCATCGTGAGGTTGAGTTGAACTGGAAAATTCTGAGCACAATATCATTCGTCGCGAAGTTGAAATCGAACTCAAAGCTTTAGCAAGTAGCTCTTGGATTGTCTTTTAGTCCAAGACACTTCGTCGTGAAGTTGAAATTTGACTTGAAGACTTCGGTGTTGCTGTGTTACAGATGACTCTTTCGTCGTGAAGTTGGGTCAATCTTTTGGGTACGATATCCTTCGTTGTGATGTTGAAATCATAGGAAAATAGAAAAGTGGCTTCTTGTTTCCATTCTTGGTCAACTTTGGTCTTCTTCTCGATTTGAAGACCTTGGTTTGAAAACTTGACCGAAAAGTAGTTTCTTGCTGCTACTGGCAGTAAATGTGCTTTTGATGAGTCATCGAACTGAATGGAATTACACTCTATAGTTTTTGTTGACATATAGCTTTTCTCAGCTTAAGCTATGCTGTAAATTTGATATGCCTTTGAGCTGAATGTTATCAAACTCGAAGGTCTTTAGTGACAGATAGCCCTTCTCGCCTTAAGCTATACTGTAAATTTGATGTGCCTTAGAGCTGAATGTAATCGAACTCAAAGGTCTTTGCTGATAGATAGCCCTTCTCACCTTGAGCTAAGCTATAAATTTGATGTTCCTTTGAGATGAATATAATCGAACTCGAAGGTCTTTGTTGACAGATAGCCCTTCTCGCCTTGAGCTATGTTGTAATAGGGTGAGAGATACCCTATTGCTGCAGATGACTCATTTACTATGAAACTGAGTCAATAAACTTGGGCACGATATCGTTCGTCGTGAAGTTGAAATCGTGGACGGCTCATTCGCTGTGAAGTTAAGCTTTGAATTGGATATCCTTCGTTGTGAAGTTGAAATCCAATCTTGTGTAAGTTGCATTTTTTCGAGTCCAATATCATTCGCTGTGAAGTTAAAATTGGCTCTGAATGAAATTGGAAAGTTGTTTGTTACCAAAAAGCTTTTCTCGGCTTAAGCTGTGCTAAAATGTCCTCTAAATGAAGGATGGCCCCCCTTCGCGGGAAAGCCCACTAATAAATTCTGTCAGCCGGATATCATCTGTCGTGGAATTGAAATCTATCTTGAAAATGTTAACTGGAAACTAGCTACTTATTACTGAGTTAGGCTAAACTGGATTTGTTCTAAATTGGTTCTCGAACCTGTCTAAATTTGATTATCAGATCTTTCGGTATTTCAACAAGTCAAATTAGTTGAGGTGTAGCTCCTCGCTGTTGAGTTAAGCAACCACCATCAATTTCTAAAGGTGCTTTTGAATCGAGTATCTTTCTTCTTGAAGTTGAAACTTGACTCTAAAAGCTGAAAAAATTATGTATGCAAAAAATAATAAATGTGATGCTCTTAAATATGTCTAAGATGCATGCAACATGAATTAGTTCTGTTTTATCTCCTAGGTGGAGTCTTGTGCTTTGTCTTCCGATCTGGTCCTTGGAATCGATCATGACCCATTGGGTTGCAACCTTTCATATTTGAGACTGTCTTGTTTGAAAACATTTTTTTCTCTTTTCTCTTATTTTATGAGGGAAAAAGGATTTGAGAATATAAGAATTCTGTAAAATATTGCCTCTTAATTCAGGCTCGCAATCGAATCAAATCATAAACACGAGTTCATAGAAAATCAAAAGAATCAATAACTCTTTATTGCTTTCAGAGTTATAGCTCTTTGAAAAATATTCAAGTTGGTTTCAGGTTGGCTTCCTATTTTCTAAGATTTTGGCCACCAAAGTGTCATTTTTTTAACATCACCACATACCCCGCTTTCTCGGCTTGGCATTTTAATCGGATGCGGACAAGATGACACAACTAGCATAATCAATTACCAGACCTTTTATTTCAGTCCTCTGAAATCTTCTGTTTGTTCAAGCTTCGTAGGCTCCTCTAATAAAGCCAGTGCAGAAGTATCGGTCTAAAAATGAAATTCTTGAGTGCTCGTGTGAAATTGACTATAACAGGTGTTCATTAACTCCCTTAGTCTATCTTTACCAAAACTCCATATTTAGATAAATTTGATTTAATTTTCCATCATCTGGCTAGCTGAATCCATAAAGTCGGGTTATTTAACCAATTGCTTTAGAGGGAAAACTTAATATTATAATCACTTTTATCAGGTTAGCTGAAGGGTTCATCTCATCACAAAGTCTTCGGCCTGACAATTGTAGTGGAGCAAACACCAAATTGCTAAGTGTCCGAGCAATGTCATAGTTTGAATACAATCTATTCATAAAGCCAGGGCTTTCGAGTTTTCTCTATAACCAATTGCCTTAGTGGAATAACTTAGCTCAACGTATTCAATTTCTTAAGATTGTCAAGAAGGACTGTGATAGTCTAGGTGTTATTGAAAGCCAAAAAAATCATCTTTAGAGTTCAATTTCCAAGCAACTGACCTAAATTAGATTCACCGACTCGACTATTTCATTTGTGAAGAACATTATTGTCATTGAATGTCTTTAACAAAAGTATATCTCATCATACATGATTCTTATTACGCATCTTCTACACGATTCTCTTGAATGCGTAGCAATTCTCAATAGTGTGCCCTGGGACACATCCGTGATATTCGCAATGAGCATTCTCATCATACCACTTGGGGTATGGAGGCTCTATGGGTTCCACCGGATATGGTGACACTACGTGGGTGTCAAAAGGTTATTGGTAAAGCTCTTTTTAGGTCATGGGAATAGGGTCAAAATATTCTCTTTTCTTCCTAGATTCTCTGGAATCTTGTCTAGAAGTACCTGACGGTACAACTGCAGTTGATTTTGGGTTGGAAAATGTAATACCTTTATTGGCGTTGATGTTGTTAATATCTCCATCTCTCTTCTTCATAGGAGATTTCTTGCTTGCCTCCCCTTTCTCAATCTTGCCTTGCTTTATGGCCAACTCAACCATTTCTCCGGCCATAACTAAATCTAAAAAGATTCTTGATGTGATTCCAACCAGGTGCCCGAAGTAAGGAGCCTTCAAAGTTTACATGAAGAGCTTCCGGGTTTCTTTATCATCCAATGGTAGATGAACTTGCACAACCAAATCCCTCTATTTTTGTGCGCATTATTTGAAACTTTGTTATGCTACTTTTCCATGCTTTGTAGTATAACTTGATCTGGCATCATGTCATTGACGTGTTTGTATTGTTCCCGAAATGACTTGGCTAAACCATTCCAAGTCTTGATATGGGACCAGCTTAGCTGACTGTACCACCGAATGGCTGAGTCTGACAGACTCTCCTAGAAGCAATGAATCAGGAGTTCATCATTTCCCATATATCCTGTTATTTTTTGACAGAACATCATAATGTGGGTAGAGGGGCAACTGTTTCCATCGAATTTCTTGAATTCGGGGACTTTAAATTTTGGTGGAAGTACCAAATCAGGGACCGGACTAAGTTCTAGTGCATCTATTCCGTAATAATCATAGTCCCCTTTGACTACCTTCATTTGGTCTTCCAACAGTTTGTATAGAAGTTTGTATCTTTGCAACAGATGAAGATTTTCCTTTGGCCATAGATTAGTCCCCTTGTAGTCCGAGTAATATCCCGAGTGAGATAACCACTTGTGGGGTCGATGGTATAGTTACCCCCTCAGACAAACCTGCCCCTGGTGCACTCGTTTGTTGCAAGCCAGATAACTTGGCCATGATTTGATCGACCAAGGACTCCTGACTCTTCGTGATGGTATTTAGGGTACTCTGACTATTCTGGGTTATCTTGTCTTCTAGTTCTCTCTGTAATTTCAACATATTCTCCTCGAGTTGAGCGATTTTAGCCTCTATTTGTCTTTTGTTCGTTCGGGTGTTGTGTGGATGATGCGTGTCTAGAGCTTGGGGAGGTAAACTCGGTGTTTGTTCTTTCTTCTGATTAGACATTTTATGTTAGTTAATATGAATGTAAAAACATGGAAAATAGAAAGAATAAACATAGGAAATAAAATGCAAAGTATGAAATGCATGATGTATGTGATTTAGAGGTATTGATCCAAAAATGTGTTTGTTATTATAAATATTCCTTATTTGAACAAAACTGTTTTATCTTTTAAGAGACGAAAAATAAATCAAAGGTACATCTGGACTAGATCCTCTAAACCCCGAACGGATTCTAGTAGGTTGACAAGTCTTCTTCTTTCATCTGTCACTGGTTGGATGCCTTGTCGAACCACTCCGGCTTCCCTTGCTAAGCCATGCAAATGACGAGCTGCCTTCTGTACTTTCTCCAGGAAATCACGGATGACTGCATCTCTAGCCTTCACCCTTTGCTGAGCTTGTTCCCAACAAAAACGCCACTGTAATCCTTCATCGAAAAGCACTATCTAAAGCTCGTTCCCTTGCGTCTTGAATCCATCCACAATGGCTTCTAACTCAGCTATGGTTTTGCTATCCCACTCTTCCTTTTTCTTAAGAGACTTCTCTAAGTCAGCTACCTGGATTCTCAAACACTTGTTCTGATGTTGATTGTCTATCAAACGCCTCTGAGCAGTCTTCAGCTGTTCTTTTAGAGTTTCTCTTTCATCGTTCCATTCGAACTTCCTTTTCAAGCTACTGGCTTCGACTTTCCAGTACTCAGAAGTTCTTTTAAGATTGGAATTATTCTGGACTTGCTCTTGGTACCATTTTCTCAGGTCTTCGAACTCAAAATAGACATTCTTCTGTTCTTTCTCCAGCTTGTCTACACGATCCTTATGAGTATCGACTTCAAGCTCCCTTACCTTCTGTTTTAGTTTATTCTTTACAGCTTCAAATTCTTTCCTTGCTATCTCCAGCTCAGAAGGGACATGCTTGAGATGTTCCTTCATGGTCCGGGTGTCCTCATAATCTGGCACTGGGATGTTGTCGTTTTTCCTTAACCTTCACCAACTCCAAATAGTTAGGAGTGAGCATGTCCTTGGCAGCCACGACATCCATTAGGAACACATTCTTCCATGACTCAACTGCTTCCTTGATCATTTTCTTGTAGTTGTCACCATGGTACACAAATTTTGATCTAGATAGTCCGTATGTTGCTGGGACAAACTGAAGTGCCCCATACTATCGAAGTGCCAGAAGCAGAGAATACCCAACTCCACCCCATAGTCCAAGTAGGGTCATAGTGTTTGAATCCCCACACTGGAAGAGAATGTCACTGTGGGTCAACTAAGGAGCTCTCTAGGAAATGTCCCGGTTCTGAAGATGTGTGAAGACTTTCATCCATTTTTCTTTTGAAGCGACTTCATGTCATTTCAGAGTGATGAATTCTCCCAAAGGTGAATAAGTGATGTTGAATCGGTGGTAGGCAATACCGTTAGTCTTCTAGAAATGACTGTGAATCTAGACTTGGAGAAGCTGAGCACACCTTATGAACCTTTCTCCGCCAGTCTTTTTGTAGTGGTTGAGAGAACGAAATGTCTCTGCTAGGATGGCCGGTATTGGATTTACTTACCTTGGGAGTTGTTCAAACAATTCCACCACGACTACAATAATGTATCCCAAAGTCTTTGGGAATATAATCAAACCGTATAGACCCAGGGCGAATAGATCGATTACCTTCCATTCATCAGGATGGTTATTCATTAGTTGTTTGATATGAAGCCAAGCAATTCCTTCCATACTGCCTTTATGTCGAGCCCAACTAGTTACCCATTTTTCATCAACCCTTGTATCATTGGCCAGTCCGTTCTTGAAAGGCTAACTTTTGATGTGTTTGATATAGGCCCTCTCCAGTCTGATGCTTTCACAGTGCAGCAGTGTAGTATACTTTTCGATTGTGGGCGCCATGTCCTCCTGGTTAAAGGTGAAACAACTGTACCCCGGGTTCTAGAATTAAACCATGGCTCTGATTAATGGCTCATTAGTCTTGACTTAAAGCAAGAGTGCAATATCACCATACCACTGGCTAAACTACTTTTTCCAGTCACTCTTTCAACTGTCTCAGATGTCCCGAAGCTCTTGTACATCATTTTGCTTTAGGCCGATAGAGGCGTAGCTAACCAGTTCCGACACACAACTTCCTTTAAGACTGTCTCCTTTTTCTTTCTGGGTCTTTTCGGACCATAGTCGTACCTCGGCTTTTTTACCTTTTGTGTTACAACCCCTTTGTCCATTAATACAGATTATTTGTGTAACTAACACCTTTTAATGGATAAATAACCTCTTTTTATGATGCAAATACTAGAAAGACAAACACGAAAGCACAAAGTTAGTAAAATAAGAATAATAATGATGAAAGAAAGAAAGAAAGAAAGAAAAGTAGAAAGACAAACAAACTGCATGGTTAGGGTAAAAACATCCTAGGTTTTGAAATGGGATTTTATGGTAGGCTCTAATTCTCTGTTGTCTCCCAGTTAAGGTTCTAAAAAGGGTACTCAAGTTCTCCTTGCTGGTGCCCCCTTGGGCTTGCCAGACCCTTAGTCTTAAGCTCATTACAAGCTTGTGTGTACTAAGTTAAACTCGAGAGGATACATTCCCTTAAATCTGTGCGGTGAATAAATTCACACGAAGACATAAGGTATATGAATCCCAAAGGCTACATGCTAGGCCTGTACGAAGAATAAATTCTCACGAAGGCGTCGCTTTCACCCTCACTTAAAAAGAGTTTGGAGCTCGGGTTTAGAGCCTCAGGTGGAAAAAGAGTTTGATAAAATGAAACCATTGAAATAAATCATCCGTACAACTATTTATTTTAAAATATAATCAAAAGTAAGTAATAAGGATCGAAAAGTTACCTTAAAATTTAAACTTACCCTTTTCATTAAAAAGACAACTGGAAATTAACCTTTAGTATGACTCACTTACCTGTCCCAATGGAGTCGCCAAGCTGTCGGATACATCTTTCAGTTGGACCCTGAATTGAGTTTCGACTTGAATAGAATGGTTAGAGTCGCCACCGATTATTTATTCTAAAAACAAATAGGTTGATCGGATACCTTGATTTCTTACTTGATCTGTATCTTATCAGCGATATGTCGGATTCGGGAGTCGGTTACACTCAAGGAAGGATTAGCACCCTTGAACTGCCCTTTCGGTACTAATTAATTTCCAGTTGTCTTAAATTAAGAAAATTAAAAAGGTAACAATCAATCGAAACTACTTTACCTTTAATGGATTTAGAATGTACCCCTTTAAACAAGTCAAGAAAAGTGTTAGATAAAAGAAGGCAATGAAATTAAATAAAATAAAGAAAATAAAACAAAAAAACAAATGAAATAAAGAAAATAAAAAGATAAAGAAAATAAAAGAAATAAAAGTAAAATGTAAAAAATAAATAAAATAATAATAAAATATATACAATAAATAAATAGATACAAGAATAAAATAAAAATAAAATAAAGAAATAAAATAAATAAATATAAAGGAAATAAAAAAATATAAAGGAAATATAAAAATAAAGTAAAGATAAAGAAAATAAAAATAAATAAAAATAATTGAAAAAATAAAATAAAACAATTAAAGAAAATAATAGTAATATATATATATATATATATATAATAAAATGTATAAATAAAACATTAGATTAAAAAATAATAAAAAATAAAATAAAGATTAAAATAAACAATAAATAAAAATAATAAAAGGATTAAATTGAAAGAAAAGAAATCTGGGGGTAAATCTAAAAGGAAATTTAGTTTTTAAATCGATTTTGGGGCTCAAAGTGCACGATTTAAAATATAGGGGGACCAAAATGGGAATTTCCCTATTTTGTTTGAAAACGCACGGACCCTCTAGCTCGGGTCGGGTCGACACGCGGGTCTCACGGGCTTAGTATATAAGCCAAAATCAAAAACAACATTTCATTCCACTCTTCTCTTCATTTCAATCAAACCCCAAAAATATGAAATCCTCTCAACTATTCTTTGTGTTCTTTATACATGAAGAACATCCACCCCTTAAACCCAGATTTCGGTGGCCATCGTCTCGCCGACATCCGCTCATTGGCGGTGGCCCATTTTTTTTTGCATATTTCGATAACTTTTTCCCTCCACTTTTCAAAAACAAAGATAGTTTTAGCAAAATGGCCTCGGGGAGGGCTAGATCTAAGGAAAACTCCTCGGTTGCCCTCCCCTCCGACCATCGGCCAATTGGTCTTTTTCAAGCCGAAAACAACATGCATGCAAAAAATCGCACGAGGTAAGAATTTTACCTTTTTATTTCACTTCAAAATTGCTACAAAATGCTTCGAATACTTTCTTATGGTATATCTTGTATTTGCTTCGTAATTTCCGTATGTATTTCATCTCGTGTAAAATAGTGTGTGATTTTCGAATATCTTTTTTTCGGTTTACAAGCATGCATATTTATAGTCTTACAAGTCATATTTTTAGAGTTCTCTAATGAAACTAAAACTTGTTTGGTTTGTTGGTTTCGTGTGCTTTCCTTGTGTTGGAGGATTCAGGGTTGATCGAAGAGTACGACGGTTGACCGAGTTGCAGCTGGGATGAAGGAGATGCGGCGATGGTGGAGTTTGGCTAGGGTTTAAAGAAAACCCTAAGTGCTTTGGGGTCTATTCGAGTCCTGGACTGGGTTTCAGGTTGAGGGTGACAACTTGGGCCAACTGGGTTTGGCGTGTAATGGGCTGCTGGGTGTTTTGGGTCTATAAATTGTTGGATCTATAAAAACTTAAAAAATAGTAGCAATATAATATATGTTATATAATTATAATATATAATAAAATATGTATATATTATGTAATATAATACTATAAATTAACATGTGAATGCCACATGATCGGACGAAAATATTTGTCCACAACTCTAAAATGTTTAAATGATATTTTTGTCATTATTTGAACTTAGAAAACTTATTTTAAAAATTATTACATATATATAGATATATTATGTTATATCAAAATCATTTATGTTTATTAGTATTTGATGGTGAATAGCCACTTAAACCCCATTGATTTCTTCTTTTGAGGTAAATATGTCAAATTCTATGTTCCATTTTTTCAAGGTCAATCATCTCTTTCTTCATTACCTTCCTCTATATAGGACCATCTAGAGCTTGTTCTACTTTTCTTTGAACTTGTGTACTATTAAGGCTTACTATGAAAGCCTTGAAAACACCCATCAAACGATTTTAAGCAATATATATTTATATGGGATGACCAATACAATTCCTTATACGTTTCCTCCAAGTAATCAATAAATCATCAGTAATAAAAAGAGGAATATGTTTTTTTTCACTAGGAGAAGATTCCATATCTTCTAATTTTTCCATGATAATTGAATTCAAGTCTAACTCTCAGTAGCTTCTAAGTTGTAGAGTGGACTTATCTCTCCTTTTGTAGACATTAAGTTCCTTATTTAAGGTGAATCTGATAGGGAAGCGGTGGCGGGTTAATGAACGTTTCTCTTGTTGAAGAATCAAACCTGGAAAGCTCTAAACTCGATGAAGAACAAAGGGGATGAATAGGGAAATATGGCAGAAATAACTAGGGTCTTTTAGAGTTTCTTTTAAGTGCTGGAAACAAGGTAAGAAACAATATTAGAACAAGATAAACAAAAGATAAAGAAATTGAGAATAAAGTTGATAATCAATAAATCAAAAGATCTCACTTATGAAGTTGAACGGTAAAGATGATGATGGTGAGGATGGATTTGTGGAAAATAGATGGATAAGTGTCCTATCAAACCCTCCTAGTCACAATGAAAAGGAAAACTCGATAATATGGCTCTAACCAACCGTCCCAGTCGCAATGAAAAGGCGAATTGGAGTGTGAAGATTAATCTCCCTTACAAGAACTTGAAAGAACTACAGGAGAAGAAGCTTCAAAGGCACAAGGTAATCACACTTGCAAAAATGAACTCTCATTGTATTATTA